TTGAGTCCTGTCACACAAAAATGAGCTGAATCTCTCCAAAAGTCAGTTCTTTTAGACACAAAAATTTGGTAAAAATGGGAAGGGGTTCTTGGGGCCACCCTAGGTGCTTCATGTGTATGCAAGTGCTCTCAGAGCAGTGCTCTTGGTCCTAATGACAACAGTTTAAAAAGCAGACAGTGTGACCATCAGCGTTTGCTATCCTGAAGATGACTGAAATCTTCTGAATCCAAATATGCTTTTCCTCCCCACCCCACATGTACTGACAGCAGCCCAAAACTACTTACTGTTAAGCATCGAAACTTTAGATTATATCTGTTACGTTCCTGGAATTTAGGTTTATGTGTTGGAATTAGCTGGTTCATTAACCTTGTTGCTTAACTCTGTCACATGTCAAGATTTATTTGGAGCCACTGCAATTTTATAAAAATGAGGGAAATTAAATGTTTTGGAAAATGACATGTATTGATATTTTTAATTTCTTCCTTGAAATAAAATGTGTTTATTTGCTAATTTTGCCACAAGGAATAGGGGTAAAGTAAACTAAGCCTCAGGGTTTCATACCCTCTTTGAGATCACGCAGTGGGTCCAGTGTTTTTGGAAACCATGGTTCTCATAATGTGAGTTGCTTTGGAATATTGGACTAATGGAGTCGAAAGATAACCTGTCACAATTGCTGCTTTTGCTCTTGTAAATTGGTATACCATTAAGTATATGTTAAGTACATTAGGCATTATCTGGAATTCTTAGTCCAGAATTGACCTCCCACAGCTGCTCTGCTGCTCCTTGTGGCCTAGGTGTGCTGGTTCCACCTGTGGGGTCTTTGAGCCAATGTTGTCCCAGGGACCCCCATAGGCATGTGTGTTGTAGTTGAGAAGAGCTGACCTTGTGGGTGCTTGGGAAGCAGCAATGCAGCTGCCCTCTTTCAGCTAAGAGTGGGGAACACTTTTGGAAGAAGTCACTGCTGGTAGAGTAAGAGACAGTCGGGTGAGGTGAGCTCGCTTGAGCTGCACTGTCCAGCGGTGTCCTCTCTGGCTATCGAACCTTGGCTATATGAACCTTGAGAGCCTGTGAAGCTGAGTTTTTAAATCTGTTTTTGTACATTCACTTTCCATGTTCAAGTTTTTAAAAGAAAACTGAGTATTTCAATTACGTGTAGAAAGGCTAATATCAATAAAATGTAAAGTAGCTTATTTTAGCTATTGGAGTGATAATTGGATATATTGTGCTCAATCAAACTATTTGTGTAATCTCTTGCTTTTGGAAACTTGAAATGTTCTTATACTGTACAGGATTCATCTTAACACAGTGACTTTGCCAAATTTTATCTCACGATTTGTGTTCCTAGAATTCGTAATTATGCCAATACAGGGTTGACCTTTCAGTGCTGGGTTGTAACAGAATGGTTATTGAGCATGAGCAAGTCTCTTATGCTCCCTACCCTGTGAAAACATGAAAAAACAGTTTAAATATCCTCTATTATGGATTCGAATTTGTGAAAGATCTGTTTCTTTAAGCAAAATAGTGGGTGTTTGCCAACTGAGCAGGGAACAAGTTGGAGCTCACAGTTCTCTGACAGTAAGTCATGCTGTATCCTTTTCACTGTTGTTATTGTATCTATTGCCTGCTTGATAACCTAATGGCAGTACAGGATGCATATATCCTGAAAAAAGATTCGACATACAAAATTTCTCTTAAATGAATGTATAATGTTCAGTTTTGTTCCATTTCAATGCCAGGCCTCCCAGGTGTGGTAAGGCAGGTTGATCACAAAATTCAGAGTCATCCTCAACTACACAGTGGCTGGTATGAGTTAAGCCAGACCTTGTTGCAAGAAAACCAGCATCAGCAGAAATGGCAGCAGTCCAGCTCAGTGGTAGTAGATTTGCTTAGCAGTTGAGGCTCATAATTCAATTCCCAGTCTCACAAGAAGAAAAAGAAGAAAGCAGGAACCCTAGCTATTACATAGTGATTTACCGTTGCTTCTAGGAAGTCCTTATTTGAGAATGAAGGACACCAGTTCAAGCACGGCTGTGTATTTACTAGTGAATGTACCCAAATCTGCAAACTCAGGTCCCTGTTGTTAGGATTTAAAGTTTAGTGGTGTGTGGAAAGTGGTACTATGTTAGGACACAGAAAGTGCTTGTGTGCAAGCCTTTTTGATCGTATGGTGGAAGGAGAAAACTGCCTCCTGCTCATCTTGGGACAGGAACCTTTATATGCATAGTACTAATAAAAAGAAAGCACTTTGACAACCTGCAAGCAAATTGGGAAATTTTTGGGAAATTTGGGAAGAAGACACGAGGATGATAACATTTAAATAGATCATGAGGTGTCTTTAGGTAGCTAAGTTTAGACTGGCTGGGTTCATAGTAATGCTCTAGAAAGCAGAGACCTTGGATACTTGAATATTCTCTCTCTCTCTCTCTCTCTCTCTCTCTCTCTCTCTCTCTCACACACACACACACACACACACACACACACACACACACGGTTAGGACACTTATTAAAGACAGTAGGGAGTATTTGAGTTCCTGATACAAATAATGCAGAGTGAATTTAGCTGGATATTGCCAGGAGAGAGGAGGATGCAAAGCGTTCCAGGAGTTTCTAGTGTGAAAGGTAAGTCCAGGAGCGATGGCGGAAGGATAACTCTAAAAGAAGAGCTTCCGCTCCTTACTGCAAGCAGACATTCAGCAGTGGATTGAAGGGCATTAAAAAGCTGCAAAGCTTTCCTGTGTGATAAATAGTATGCTCAGGTGCTGGCGAGATGGCTGAACAGTTAAGAGCATGGGTTTGATTCTCAGGCACCTGCATGGTGGCTTACAACCATCCGTAAATCCATTCCCAGGAGATCCAGCATTCTCTTCTGGCCTCTGTGGACACAACATGCATATTACTCACAGACATACATGCAGGCAAAATATGCACATACGTTTACAATAAACTTAAAAATAATTCTCAAGGTATTATCATTAGTTACCGAGACCATGACAACAGCTAACCATTTCTTTTTGAAATTGTCTCCACAAAGTCTTGAGTACATCCTTTTAAAGAAGTAACATCTGGTCCCTTTTCCTTCCTTCCTTCCTTCCTTCCTTCCTTCCTTCCTTCCTTCCTTCCTTC